TTTTTTTTTTTTTGATTGCAGTTATTGTTATTCGGCAGGCTGGGGCTGGATTTGAACCTGCCAGCTCCAGTATATGTGGCTCGCACCCTAGCCGCTGAGCTACAGGTGCAGAGCCTGGTTGTCAAACTTCTGATCAAATAAAATGTTTTTATGTTTTTCAAAGAGTGTGAAACTATCCTCATTGTAAGGATATGTATAAGTAATTTACCAAGCCATTAATCTGAGATATGGACGTAACTGCCAGGTCTCCCTGTCATACTTTGCAAACTGCTTTGTTTTTCCAAACATAAGTAACAGAACGGCCTAAATTTTATCTCGTAGGTTCTGGCCCCTCATTTCAGACTATCAAGATAATTCTGAATATTTATTCTACCAGTCAGTATGTAGCTGTCACTGCCTATTACAAAACAACTTTGAGCTTCAATCCCTGAATACACCAACCACAAGTTAAATAATTATTTCTGGATGTACGGCTGTTTCTTTGATTTTTTTTTTTAATATACTATCAAGACTAAAATGTGCCATTATTTAGCATAAGCTTGCAAATGATTATGCATGTTATACAAAATAACCAATCTAGATACTTATTTCCTGGAAAACTATTTACCTGGTTGATGAACAACTTCTCCAATTTTATGTTCTTCTTCTTCCTCCTCCAAAATGAAACCACCTCCTGTGTCAATTATCTTTGGGGCTGCTTTTACATTGGTCATGCCTACAAAAAGCAAAGCAAGGGACAGTAATCAACAATCACACTTGGTAAGCCCCCATGCTCCCTCGTGTATAAACAGGAAATTTCTTTAAATTTAATATACAGGTCCAGGTTGTAGATGAGCTACATCCCTGAGAACATCTTTAGGTCAGATTTGTAAGTAACTTGGATCCCTGATGAACAGCACATACATGGTCATAAGGACAATAACAATACTATAATGGCTTCTAGGTGGGAACAATAATACAGCGTAATACTCCTGGACTATAATAATAAGATACAGAATCTACTGTGGTCTCTCTTTTAATTCAAACAAACAGAACATAAAAACAAACTCATAAAAAGTTTAGATATGAGATAGGAGAAACGTCAAAAAAGACTATTAAAGATTAGTGCTCACCTAATGTTGCATAAATGCTAGGCTAACTGGAATGTTATGCTTATTTTGATCTTCTAACCAGATCAGGAATGACATTTTAATGTCACTTATTAATCCACTATGCTGCCTAGTAATAACTGGTGCATGTACTTAGTAATAACCACTGCCTTTCACAAACTCCATTATTCTCACTTCACCCTCTATGATTGTCCCAACAGTTAAGCCACTGAAGCCTAATGCTTTCCCGATGAATGATACTATGTGGCTTTTCTCCAAAGACTTAATTTCTTCCTCTTCCATTTCTACTATAATCATCTTTCTCCTAAATGCAGGCTCACCTAGGCTTGCAGTGGACCTTTGGAGACATGGCCATAGGGTAAACACAGACTCAGAAAATCAAATAAAAAATTTAAGGGCTCCACTACAACTTGAACTTTACCTTAAAAATGAAGACAAAGTAACCTAAACCTTTGTACCCTCCTATCAATCTGAAATTTAAAAAAGTTTAAAATGAAAGTGATGCTGTGTAAACAACTCCATAAACAATGAGACTGCTAGCGTGAAGATGCTGTCCCAACTGCCAACGAAAGACTTACTTACATCATGTAGGTTTGTTTACATGAGTGGAAGAAACTAGTTCTCAAATTATTAACTTAGCTATTTAATTATAAATTATCCTATTCTACCCTTGAGAGCCTGCTCATAAGAACAGAATGGAATATGCCATGAAGGAAACTGTCCATAACTTGGGGACTGTCTATATATCAAACAAGGCAAGGATGTCCATGATCACCATCTCTATTTAACATTATACTGAAGATCCTAGCCAGTACAATACAGCAAGAAAACCAAAAAGGCATAAAAGTTGAAAGTAAAACACTCTTTTTTACAGATGGAGGTGATTATCTACATAAAGTAGCCACAAGAATCTACAGTTAAAATTAGGAAATAACTACACTGGGTGGCGCCTTTGGTTCAGTGAGTAGGGCGCTAGCCCAATATACCAAGGTTAACAGGTTCAAACCCAGCCCCAGCCAAACTGCAGCAGCAACAACAACAACAACAAATAGCCAGGCATTGTGGAGGGCACCTGTAGTCCCAGCTACTCGGGAGGCTGAGGCAAGAGAATCACCTAAGCCCAAGAGCTGGAGGTTGCTGTAAGCTGTGATGCTACAGCACTCTACAGAGGGCAACAAAGTGAGACACTGTCTCAAAAAAAAAAAAAAGAAGAAGAAATAACCACACCATACAATACACCCAAGTGACAAAAACCACTCATACCCACTAAATCTATTGAAATAAAAAAGGAAAAATATTAAGAAATAATAAAAACCTAGAAACAGATGTGTAAAATATCTACACCAAAAATCAGAAAACACTAAGAGAAATCAAAGGCTACCTAATAATTAATGGAAAAACATGCCATGTATGGATTTCAAGCCTCAATACTGTAAAATATAAATTGTCCTCAAATTTATCTAAAGAGTCAAGGTGATCCCAGTTAAAATCCCAGCAGTAGGATGTGGGTGGAGTGAAGGGGTCCTGACAATCTGATTCTAATATTTATATGTAAATAGAACCTAAGCCAGCCAAGATAAACTTAAAGAACAAAATTGGAGGATTTACACACCAGATTTAAAGACTTACTACAAAGCTTCAGTAATGAGGACACTGAGGTACTGGCACAGAGACAAAGAGGCCAGGGGAACAGAAGACCAAGTTCTGAAATACACCTACATATATTTGGCCATTTAACTCAGTAGGAAAGATAATTTTTTCAATAAATAATGCTGTGATTTATGACAAAGGATCCACTATAATACAGGTGGGAAAAGATTTTCTTTTCAATAAATAAACTTTGGCCCTATCTTAGATAATACACACACATATGCTTAAAATGGCTCACTGCCTGACACAGACCACAAATAATACCATATAGCTACAACCAACTAATTTTTTACAAAGCAGACAGAAACACACACTAGAGAAAGGATGCCCTAAACAATGTATGGCGCTGGGAAAACTGGATAGCCACATGCAGAAGAATAAAACTGAATTCCTGTGCTCGCTTCAGCAGCACATATACTAAAATTGGAATGATACAGAGAAGATTAGCACAGCTCCTAAAAAAAAAAAAAAAACCAACTTGAGTTCCTATCTCTCACTATATATAAAGATTAACTAAAGATAGATGAAGGACTTAAATGTAAGACCTGAAACCATAAAAATTCTAGAATAAAACACAATTTTTCTACACATTGGCCTAGGAAAAGAATTTATGAGCAAGACCCCAAAAGCAAATACAGCAACAACAAAAACAAATGGGACTAAAAAGTTTCTACACAGCAAAGGAAATAATCAACAGAATAAACAGACAACCTAAGAATGAGAAAAAAGAATTGCAAACTATAAATCTAATAGTTTAGATTATTAAGGGCTAATATCCAGAATCTACAATGAACTCCAACAAATCAGCAAGAAAAAACAAATCACCCCCATCAAAAAGTAGCCAAAGACATGAACAGACTTTTCTCAAAATAAGGTAGACAGACAGCCAACAAACTTATGAAAAATTACTCAACATCCCTAATTATCAAGGAAATGCAAATCAAAACCACAATGAGATACCACCTTACCCCTGTCAGACTTTAAAGTCAAAAAACTACAAATATTGGCATGGCTGTGGTAAAAAGGGATGCTTATATACTGTTAGTGGGAATGGAAACTTGTACAACCGCTGTGGAAAGTGGTATGGACATTCCTCAAAGGACTAAATGCAGACCTACTATTTGATCCAATAATCCCACTACTGGCTAGATACGTGGTAGATCTATCCAAAAGAAAAGAAGTCATTGATCAAAAAGATATCTACACAGGAACATCTACCACAGCACAATTTACAATTGTACAGATAGGCAATCAACCAAAGTGCCCATCAATTGATGAGTGGATAAAGAAAATGTGTGTGTATATACATTCGATGGAGTACTATTTAGCCATTAAAAGGAAATGAAAGAATGTCTTCTGCAGCAACTTGGATGGAATTAGAGACCACTATCCTAAGTGAAATATCTCAGAATGGAAAAACAGACACCACATGTTCTCACTTGTAAGTGGAAGCTAAACAAAAGATGTATGTGGTTATTAAGACTGTAACAAACATTGGAAATTTAGAAGGGGGGAGTTTGGAAGGGGGTGAGGGATAAAAATCTACATATCAAGTACGATGTACACTATTCTGGTGATGAGTATACTGAAAGCCCTGATTTTAGCATGATACAATTTATCCATATAATGAAAAACACTAAAGCATCAATGTACACATGATCTATGTGTTTATGATTTAATAAAAAAGATAATAAAAAAAGAAAAATACTTGTACTCCCTAAATATTTTGAAATTTAAAAAAAAGCACTATCTTGAATGTAAAAAGTAAAACAATAAAAACTTCTAGAAGAACACATAGAAAAATAATTTCACGAACTTGGAGTAGCCCCAAGTTTCTCAAATAGGACACAAGAGAAAAAAAGTGCTAAACTGGACTCAATTAAATTAGGAAGTTCTATTCATCCATACACCATTATGAGAACAGAACACAAACTATGGGAAGACATTTGCAATATGGCAGCCTCCCCTTATCTGCAGGGGGTATCCAGTGACTCCCAGTGGATGCCTCAAGTCTGCCAGCACAGACTAAAACTCCCTCACAAACAGTGCCATGTCTTGGCATGGCTGTGGTGAAAGGGATGCTTATATACTGTTAGAGGGAATGTAAACTTGTACAACCGCTGTGGAAAAGGGTATGGACATTCCTCAAAGGACAATTTTTTCTTTTATTTTTGTTTTACTGGCTAAAAACTCCCTCACAAACAGTGCCATGTGAGCTGGTACGCTGTCATGATACAGCATAGAACACTGTATCTATTATGGCTTTTCAATCTGATGACCAAGATGGGATATATGCTGGACAAGAAGATGATTCACATCCAGAGTGAGAATGGAGCAAGACAGCTTGAGATTTCAGAACAGCGCTCAATTTAAGACTGATGAATTGCTTGTTTCTAAAATTTTCCATTTAATATTTTGAGCCATGGTTGACCACAGATAAGTGAAACCACAAAGAGTGAAACTGCAAATAAGGAGGTACTAACTTATGTATATCTGACAAAGGACTCACACTCTGGGTCTCTCTCTGTTGCCCTGGTAGAGTGTCACGGTGTCATAACTCACAGCAATCTCAAACTCCAGTGAGCCTCCTGCCTCAGCCTCCCAAATAGCTGGGACTTCAGGTGCCCTCCACAATGTCCCGCTAATTTTTCTATTTTTAGTAGACACAAGGTCTCACTCTTGCTCAGGCTGGTCTCAAACCCATGAGGTCAAGCAATCCACCCACCTCAGCCTCCCAGAGTGCTAGAATTACAGGAGTGAGGCACCACAGCTGGCCCATACCCTGAATATATATTAACAATAAAATCCTATAAATCAGTAAAAGATAAATAAACCAACCTAAAAAAAGAACTAATTGGCAGTGCCCATGGCTCAGTGAGTAGGGCACCTGCCCCATATACCCAGGGTGGCAGGTTTAAACCCGCCCAGGCCAACTGCAACAAAATAGTCAGGCGTTGTGGTGGGTGCCTGTATTCCCAGCTACTCGGGAGGCTGAGGCAAGAGAATCACCTAAGCCCAAGAGCTGTGAGCTGTGATGCCACAGCACTCTACCAAGGGCAACAAAGTGAGACTCTGTCTCTAAAAAAATAAATAAAATAAAATAATAGGCTGTCCAAATGGCCAATAAACACACAAAAAGATTCTCATCACCATTAATCATTGGCAAAATGCAAATTAAAACCATAATAAAATATCACTATACTCTCACAAGAATATCTAAATCAGTGGTTCTCAACCTGTGGTTCGCGACCCACAGGAACTGTATTAAATGGTTGTGGCATTAGGAAGGTTGAGAACCACTGATCTAAATGAAAAAGACTGACAATACCACAAGGTGAAGATGTAGAATAACTATAACTCTCATATATTCTTGATGAGATGATTAATAAAATCACAATTTTGCAATATCTACTAAAGCTTAACATACACTCCTTCTATGACCCAGCAGGTCCATCTCTAAGTATACAAGGTTAGACAAGTTCGTGAACTCATCCTAAAAAAAGTGCTACATACCTCACTGCTGAATATCACTAAGGTCACCTTCCATGTCCTCCCCTTGAGAAGCTATGCACTAATACCAGTGCCTAGGCCACCCTGCAAGGAAATTTTGGAATTGTTTTTCCGGAATGGCCATCAGAGCTGTTGTATTACCCTTGATGTCCTGAATGTCATCAAAATGGGTATCTTCCTCTCAACATTTCCTTTATCTTCTGATAAAGAAAAAAAGTCACTGGGGACCCGATCAGGTGAGTAGGGAGGGTGTGCAAATACAGTTATTTGTTTATTGGCTAAAAACTCCCTCACAAACAGTGCCATGTAAGCTGATACGCTGTCATGATGCAAGAGCCATGAGTTGTTAACAAAAAATTCAGATTGTCTTCAGTCTTTTTAGCACTTCCAAACAGTCAAGTTTGCTAACTGTCCAGCTGGTACAAATTCACAATGAATGATATCAAAAAATTTTAGCGACATCATTTTGAGTCTTGATTTGGACCAATGGAACTTTTTTAGTCATGGAGAATTGGCCAAATTCCATTGTGTACTTTGACGCTTTGTTTCCAGGTCATACTGTTACACCCATGTGTCATCACCAGTGATAACACAGCCCAAGACATCATCTTGCCTCTCCAAAAGGTCTTGGCAAACTTCAACTCTCCTTTGCTTTTTTTTATTTATGAGCTCCTTGCATGAGGACAATTTTGATGGTCATTCGAGAAAAAACAGTTCCAAAATTGCTTTGAAGGGTGGACTAGGCACTGGAGTCAGAGTACTTCAAAGGTGACCATAGCAATATTCAGCAATGAAGTATACAGCACTTTTTCTAGGATGAGTTTGAGAACTTAATTGTCATGCCTTATCTTATACACAACAGAAATAAATGTGTACGTCCATGAAAACACATGTACAAGAATTCTCAGAGATTTTATTTATAATAGCCCCAAACTGAAAACAACCCAAATATCTACCAAAAGGAAAATGGAAAAATTGTAGGATAATACAAAGTATCCAACACACAAATGAACAAACTACCAATACATGCAACAAAATGCATGAACCTCTCCAATACTATGTTGAGCAAAAAGCCATTTATATCAAGTTCAAAAACAGATAACACTAATCAAATGTTCAGATTAGCAGCTACTTCTGAGAGTGGAGTGTGCATATTGACCAAGAAAAAACAATAGGAAAACTTCCAAGGTTCTCAAAGGGTCTGTATCTTGATCATGATGGTATCTATGTGAGCATTTCCACATAATTCAGAAGACTACATTTTAAATAGTAATGCATGCTATACCTCAATATTGTAAATGACAAATTTAATATGCATTATTCTCCTTAAGTCATTTTCATTCTCTGGCTTCAATTTCTTCCTCTATTAAGTGAAAAGATTCCATTATAATCAGCCTGTTTCCACTGTTAATGGCAATTCTCACACTGTACTATACTGCCTGTTTTTCTCCCTGCATCCCTCCATTAGACCCAGTGCCTTTATCTCTGTAATTCTGACAATAGTAAGCATTCCACGGGTATCTATCGGATGGACAGAGATGGGTGAATATACCAGAACATATGATTTTGATTTCAAGAAATGGTAGCATAGCAAATGAATGTAAGAGCAGTGTAGCAAATGAGCACAATGAGAAGAGGGGAAATGGAGCATTCAGGGCCATACTTTGATCTGAATCCTGAACAGTGCTAGTTCATACCCCAAACAAAGTCAATTTCTCTCTGCTGCTATGCCTTGCTGCTTCCCCAGGACTTCGGCATCACTCTTAGCACCACATTCTAAGTAAGTCTTTTTCAGTCTTTTTTTTTTTTTTGCAGTTTTGGCCGGAGCCAAACCTGCCACCCCTGGTATATGGGGCTGGAGCCCTACTCCTTGAGCCACAAGTGCCGCTCCCATCTTTTTCACTCTTTTTTACAGCATAATGTCATACTACAGAGAAAATGGAAAGTGCCTAGCCCATTGAAATAATAGTACTGGAGAGCTAAAAATCCC